TTCATAACTGAATCAAATGTATTTATCCATAGAAATATGTAAACAAAACAGAAATTAGAATTTTCGTGATAATTGTGATTTGGAAAGATTATAAAAAATATTTATGTTTGTTGACAATAAATATATGCCATCTTTATTATACACCTACACGATTAAGGATCGGTGTCTTTAAATACATGTCTAATGTCCATTTTGAGTCTTTGAAGTTAGAGAAAAAAAGGTGCAATACACCTAAAATGTATACTAGACAAACCCCGATTAATTTGAAAATAATGTAATTACACTGCATTATGTACAAAATGAAAGTAGGTAGGTTTATGGTAGTAGTAGGTTTACGTATTTTTTTTATGCGCCAGTATACGTGCATTAGTACCCTGATTAGGAATTTTGTTGGATAGCGACTAACTCCGTCGCTGAATAGCCCATATTACATTAACATAATCAGAGCAGCAATAGATAGGTCCTAATCGTTAACCAAATTGTCATATGAATTGAAATATGCATCTAAATTTTGGTTTGAGTTCTGGGGAAGATGGGCGTGAGATGGCAAAATCATTCCTCATTGCACCAGTTTGCTTGAGAGGAATAGATAGTAAAAGGGGGAAATTTCCTTAATCAATTTACTGTTATCTCCACCAATTTTGGTCAAGTACTGTATAAAGAACTGTGGAGAGTAAAACGTGAAATATTTATAATTCTCTCCAACAAAATGATTTTATACTTTGTTAGAATTCGGAAAAACAATATTTAACATAAAAACTAGAACAATACAATAGAAAATGATTAATTTATTTACAAATGCTAATCTCTTGTTCAACAAGTTTCTCTTCACTTTAATCTTCAGAGACAACAATACGAACATGTCAAATCAGTGCTCGATGGTCAATTTGGACACTTAATATTATCTTGCCCCCAAGTGACCACAATGTCGTCATATCGGTCATTTCTTGATAGCTTTTAACCTGTTAGTCCAATTAAAGAGTCTTGTCTCTTTTAAAGTATCATTATCTATATTAACAGGCTACAAATCAAATGTAATAATTAAAGTAATGAGCTAATCACAATCAAAGAAAAATAATCATTGTGATAAATTAATTTACTTGGTTTGTGATGGTCAAATGACATCACGATTCTAGATGAAAGGTGTACTTTACTTTAATTGGAATTTAAATATACATCTTGGTCGAAATCCTAAATACATGTGATGACGAGTTTATTCCAAGGTATTTTAATTTGAAGTTATTATTACTATATATGTTCTCTAGATATCAAATCAAACCTTTTTTCACCAAACTCGACATTGCATATACAGTGCATTAAAACGACTTTGCATTAAAAATTGAAGTATCAGAGAATTATGCAAGAGTCCAAGAAAACTTTTTTGATACTTTTCGATCAGAGAATTCTACGAAATGCACGATAAAAACAATTCCAATGGCTACATGTAAATTGTTGATAATAATCATTTAAATGGGATTTTTAAATTTTTGACGAACCGGAATCAAAACCAATTTGATTTCAAAGACATTCAATAGGAATCGTGCTCTGGAATCCAAATCGAAAGACATTTCTACTGCACTATTAATTTATTGTCTATATAGATATGTTTTGTTTGATATATAAGAGACATAAATACATTATAATATTTACATATAAATGCTAATCAATCCGTTCACAAGCAGTTTAAGTGTTGTAATAGCAATTCAAAATATTATAATAGTAATGCAAATTGTTTAACGATAATGGCGAAGTATGCCTTATTGGCATCATAAATGCAACTTTGCATGACTGAAACGATAAAGGTCATACGTTGGCATCTATACGAACCATTTTGTGGATAAATGGTGAATTTCAAAAAAGAAATAACTGAATGAGTTGCATATATTATATGGTTATTATATTCTAGTACTCTATTATATATAATGTCAATAATAGCTTTAAATTTTCAGAGGTGTTCAATAAAAAAAATCTAGAATTACGCATATCAAATACTAAGTACTTATACTTTAAGAAGCCGCTTATAAACAGTTAATATTAGGATGAGTCGAATATTTCAAATTTTGCTGAATAAACATCTTCGAGCAGTGCTTTAGAAACTGGCCGGTTGAGGCAGTAAAAGCTTACAATTTTCTTAATACTAGGACTAATATCAAAGAAAAAATGGAGGCAGAAATCGAAACATTTAGAAAACTCGAGTCGCCCAGACTTAAAAATATTATAAAAATCATTTTATTAAAAAAAGACTAAAATACTATAAATTGTAAAAATGACAGAATCAGCAATTTAGAAAATAACTCATGTATTGTAAATATTTATCATATAGAATAGCCAGTAAGCAGATAGATATCAGGTGTTCAGGAAGAATAAACATGTCTTGCCTCACTAGCAACACCAACCACTGTACGCGTTATGATGAATCTCAATTCAGAAAAAAATATGTCTATATGGGTATGAGCCAAATATATATTTAACCATCAACTAATGATCATGTAGTCAATGGCCCTTAATAATGAATATTTTAATCTATTTTTAGCTCAAACAGTGCCATGTTGGAATGCGATTTCAGGAAGTGCAAGTTTCCGATTTTATCTGCCCAGATACTTATATATACTTCAAATGTAAATGAGATTATTTAAGGATTGTGGGAGAATTATCCTTTTTTTAATAAATGGACATCAATAGAGTGTAAACACCTGAATTTTAACTTGTATTAAACTAACAAGTACTATCTATTGTATTAGAAGAGGAGATACGTAACTAATGTACGTCAACAGTGACTAAGCCTATCTGCATCCCCCTATCCGATACATGTAGAACGAGAGAGCCCACTCGTATCAGCTCGACAACTAACTTTCAACTGTACTACATTTTCTCGACGAGCGCTTTATATAACGATCTATTATTATCAACCAATGAAAAACGTTTATCATTTCGCTCAAGTTTTCTGCTTCGGCTAGGTTTGAGTCAGTTTATTTCTAAATATTCAGACAGAAACAGTTAATAAGAATTTTGTCCAATATCATAAATTAGTTAATTTGGAAATGACATCAGTTTTGGACAATATAGTGGATAGTCATACACGTATTACAAGTGTAAAGTTAGAGGATACTAATACAATGGAAGTTCAAAATGTAAGTATAACAACTAATCAATATCTACTTGGACGATTATTATTTAATTGATAATTATCAATTAATTCATTAGGTCCTGTTGTGTAATTACATATTCGATAATGTTGTTATTATAATAACATGAAAGCATAACAGACCTAGTACTTCATTAGCATTTTCATCAATTTAGCAGAAGAGTGGCAAGGACAGCGCAAAAGTCCACTAATTTGGCATTCTGGCATTTTCAGGTTAAGAACATGTGGAAGTGTCATATTTTTGTCACTAACATTAAACAGCACTAATACCTTGAAATTATAAACAAATAACATGACAGTATATAATATTTGTGAGGCCTTTGACGAACACTTTAGAAAGGTCCCAATATGGCATTGGCTTGCAATATCAAACAAGGCTGACATCAGTTTAATTATCTAAGTTTTAAGATATGTTTAATGGAGATGTATATTATATATAAAAAATAACTGATAGTAGACAATATAAAAAAGGCTAATGTCTGTTATCGACTGGCATTACAAGGTAGAAAATATCGACAACTTAATTAGCATTGATTCTATAATAGGATTGTTCAAGTTAATGGGTAATTAGTGGTAGATAACATTAAGAAGATTACAGAACTTTCGTCTTTAAAAGAGCACGATTTGACTTTTCTTTTATCATTATGTTCATGTCTCTTGGAGTAGACACACGCTGAGCATACTGAATATTGTTATACATAGTGAACAATACGAACGTATAGTTACCTACAATGGATAATAATAATACTAAAAGCATACTGGAGGATGATATTTTTAACTTACCGGTAAGCAACTATGAGGTTTTTGAAAAAAGACTTAGTGCTTGCAATTATGTCTGAATTTGATAAGACTTCTAACTTTTTTAGATGGACTTTCAAGATTTTCTCTTGATTTACTGGAACTTAATTTTCTTTATCTTTTATCTTTTCAGACTTGGCAAGAAGTTGAAAATTTGTTATATCATGATAATTCTCCTTATGAGAGTAGTATGGTACAGATGATGACAGAGCAGATGAGAGGCAGCCCAATGTCTTCAGATAATATGCCTTCCCCTGGATACCAAAGTGCTTCATCCCCAGCCGGCAGCATGTCACCTGGTGCTCATAGTACTGGTACCATGTCACCGCCATTACCTGTATATATGAAACATAATAATATCCAACAGTTTAATATCACCCCAACAGCCGACCACCAACCATCAACAACGAATAATTTGGATAAATTTGATGAACTCTTAGATTTAGACTTTATTTTAAATAATTCAGCCGAAACGAACTTTTACCCCGAAGATAGTGGTTTAAAAATCAAACTAGAACCAGGTCTTCCTGATTTTCATTCCACTTTTCTTGAGTTTCCAGATATCAAATTAGATATGGGTGTAAATCAAAAACTCGATCTTGGTGCTCCAATAAATAAAATGAACCAACCTCAGCAACATCAAACTGTACAGTCACAACAACATCAACAGCAGCAACAACAACCGCAACAAAATATGGATTTTAAAAATATCATACCCAAACAGGAGTTTCCAATTTCCAACAATTCTTGCTCTACTTATTCGGGAACAGTAACGCTCATTCCTGCCAACCAAGCTCTTCAGATGCCTTTTCATCCAGCAACGATGTCACCACCGTCCTCTCCAGAACATCAAAGAGAAGAGTTCTTGAAATGTCATCAGTTGTCCATGATGCAGCAAATGAACAACCATCAGCTTATGGGTCTTCAAGGTCACCATATGATGAATAAATTGTATGGACAAGCTAACCATATCGGACATCAAATGATCACACCGCCATCATCGCCACAATTAGTAGAGCTGCTTCTTCCACAACCCACAGCTGAACCTCAGCCCAAGAAACGTGGACGACGAACCTGGGGACGTAAACGACAAACCAGCCACACTTGTACCCATCCTGGATGCCAGAAAACATACACCAAGAGTTCCCACCTGAAAGCTCATCATCGAACGCACACTGGTGAGAAACCATATTGTTGCACCTGGAAGGGATGTGGATGGAAATTTGCTCGATCTGATGAACTCACCCGTCATTATCGTAAACATACTGGTGATCGTCCTTTCCAATGTCATCTGTGTGAAAGAGCTTTCTCCAGAAGCGATCATCTGTCACTTCACATGAAACGTCACATCTGAAAAGTTTAAATTTGATGATTCTCATGACGTGGCGAATTTAACGTTCTGTTAATGTTATAACAGTCCCGGGCTCTGTTTGGTAATTGTTCTTTATATATTTTGAACATTAGAAATGCTATTTTTAATGAACATTATAAAGACTTGCCTTAGGGTCACAGTGCATGCTGTAGTCATTTAGGCTCATATTGACATCCTTTATATTGATTTTTGTTGAAAATAATTTGATAATATGAATTATTCATTCTATTGAATTATCTATTTAGTTTTCGGCTGGATTCCGATATGACGGCTGGTTCGTTGGATCAGGTGCCAAAATTATGCATGCATTAAGACACCACTCATTTAACTAGAGCCCACACTGCTTGAGCTGGCCCAGTCTATGAAAGGGTACCAGTTAAGTGGGCGACAGTAAAGAGGGTGCCCTATTTATCTCTTATGTATCTTCCATATAATATTTGTTATGTTTTTATTTATCATATGCAATAGTTTATTTATCTAAAAATCCAAATGTTTTGGCTTAAGGTGACCTTTCGTTTTTGTCTGTGTACATGTCTTAGCGAATATTTGGTCAATATTTTAGTACTGCTCGACAGCAGACCTCCTAATAGTATATTAATACACCAGCCGGTCTGGTACTAATATTATTTTAAGTAGTTTAGATAGAACCTTGTTAATCTTTAGAAAAGTTATTTAATTACCAAGAATTTTATGAAAACTTAAATCAAAGCCAAAGTTTTACTTTGTTAACAAATAGTGCTATTTAATTCTTAGATTATTGTTAAAGGTACAGCAGAATTTAAGAGAGTGCTTCAAAACTTATCCAGAACTTGTTCTCAAAATGGTACCGGTGAACGTTTACTTTTTGATTTGGTAGTTCGAATCACTACCCTCAAGCAAAATTGATAGACTTCGAAAGTCATGCAAATTAATAAACATCGAAAGGCTGTTGATTCGGACAATATTTGATGCTCGTGGTTCTGATGTACCTAATCTAGACTATTTATCTTTATCTTATGTTATGAGAAAAATTTCATCTATAATTGGACTGTGATCTTTGTAAATACTTACTTTCAATTCGTGTTCCTCCTTTATTCTGCTTATATAATATATAATCATTTTCAAAATATAGTTATTTTTATATATTTTCACGTGTTAATATAATATAAATAGTATATCATATATTATCTTTTCTACTATAGCAGTAGTGTAGTGGATGATCCAAGACAATATTTTTGTAAAGAGGCTAGTCACTATTTTTTACTGTTATCACAATTTGTGCCATATACATCATATATATATATATATATAATGAGAGAGAGTACATTTCTATCAAAAGATGCAGCGCATCAAACAGTTGTACATTTATATTTGAGTTATGTTACTGAGTAACACCGAAATAAAATCGTTATTTATAAAAAAAAAATCCTTTATTTTTTACTTTAAAACTTCTTTGAGAATCAGTTATGCAGGTACAAACCCTTGGGATTCGGGTATGCATAATGGGTACAAAAAAGTGGTGGGACTGGGAGGCTATTTTTTCTCACAACTGTCAATGACCGTAAACTATGAAGTCACTGGTCATCGATTGTCAAGGTCCACTGAAGCGGTATACTGAATGAAGTAAACAGTTCATTAGTGGACAACAAGAAGGATAAAGGTCTAGTAATGCAGCCTTGACTAATACGAATAATATCCTATTTTTCTTACCACATTAACCAACACAAATGTGGACGAATACGAATAGGATTTTATGGAGATGCATTGATCAAATTTACACAAAAACATTTGACCTTTAGTTTTTGTGAGAAATTCGTTTGATGTAGAGTATTTCATTTTGATCAATGCAGCTTTTTAAATCTTTTTGAACGCAAGCTATTCAAAATATTGAATTAACCGAAAAGACAAACACGAGGAACGCTCTGAATTCATCTACTACGTCAAAGTTGAAGCTAGGTGTATTTGACAATGAAAGATGAAAAAGAAAACAATACCGATTTGACCCCAGTCTTGGCCTTGACTTAATAGTGTCACAATATCGATCCTGAACCAAGTGTATTTATACAAGTTTGCCACAAACATTAAAACCTCTTGTGTTCCAAATTCTTTCTGTTCTATTGCTATTGTTTTTCTCTGACATTGACTTATATGATTGCCCTTGAAAATCCGCATGTTTGTTGTACTTAGAAATGGCAACCTTATAGCTGATCAGTCCAAATCCTCGAATACCAGCCATAGTTCGAAGGATTTTCTTTTTACTCGAGGACCTCCAAGCTGCACTTAGTACTATCAAGTTTTAAATTGGGTGATAAACGAAGGGCAAAGGAAACAATTTATAGCAACTGGCGGTTAATCTGTTGAAACTTTGTTTATGGTCACTGGTGCCCCTGATTACCTTTCAGTTTAAGGTACATTCTCAAGGACATTGTACTGGGAAGCTGCGATTTGTTTTTGTTATTCTTTGTGCATTGTGCATGACAGTAATAGTCGACATGTCATTGTCATTTGACAAACACATGTCGAAAACCGACATGACATATAAGAAACAAAATCACAATGGTAAGTCAAGATCCACAGGCCGACAAATCACAAGGGTGGGCATGAAATCAGAAAGTCGACCTGGGTCACTCTGGAGATTGAACTCGCAACCCAGTTACGGATCATGTCCATGTTGTAGATGACTGATCGCCAGCCGTAACATTGTAACTGTAGAGTGTAACATAGCATATCAAGTGTTGATTGGACACTGTTTGTTTATTTGCTGATCGTATTGTCTGTGTGAAACATCTTAACATTACAGGAGCGTGGCCGTGTTGTAAAAATATTTAAATTTCGTGCCAGTTTATTGAAAAGTAAGAAATGAGGCCAGATGAGATTAAAACATTTTTACCCAACATGTTTTTGTATTAAATTTTTACTTAGGTTGTGTTATCATGACATCCGTCACAAAGACTTCGGGTTTTTCAGTTGACATTTTTTACCTGTTATTTTAAACAATAAACGTTTTTTTTACAGCAAATTTTGACCCAAATGTAGATCATGTTGTGTTTTTATTGGTTCGGTTACCACAAGAACAGTATAGGTTTGAATTAAAATTTAGTTTTTTTCTTTTCTCTATACGAATATTTATTTCTCATTTCTCAACATAGTTTAACTTCTTCTACGAAACAAAAGAGGCAACGACAAGAAATAAAAAAAAAGATTGGTGCTACTACCATTGTTTGAGAGCATGTAATCTCTTCTGAAATATGTGTAATGAAATTGGCCGTATTTACAATGAAAATTATCACACGGAACAGTAACGGTGTGACGGTAGTTACAAGACAGGAAATGGAGCTTTACGTCTTACTTTCTGTCTGTCTGTTTTTGACTTTACGTTCGATTTTTCAGAATCGGGACCAGATGCTGGCATCAGTGCTAGAAGCAATGTGTTAATAAACGTGATAATAGATGTAAATGATATGTTTATTTAATTGATATTGTATTATATAAGTATAAGATAATATTGGTAGGACTATATTGATATTATGTTAGAGATGTTTATATAAGAAATTCATCAATAATAACACGACAGTAATGGGATGACAATTTCAATATAACTTTATATTGAATCTAAAATACCTTTTGGCATGTTGAACATTATTCAAATTTTCTTTCAAAGCCACTTAAAGGGATACATTTGGTCTTATAATTTCAGCAATATCAGCATATTATCTAAACATAAATCATTAAGAGTGAAACCCCGTCTTCATTCGACGCTTACGCCAGACGGACTTAGCAAATTGACAGAATGGCAAAGAAATTTACGACATTATAAATTGCCATCTTGGTCACGAAAAAGAAAGTGCGTGGAGCATCATCTTTAAAATCAGCTCTGTTTTTACCTTTAATGTAGAATTTGTTATAGTTACCAAACAATTTCAAGAGCATCATTTACATAAAATCGATATGCATGTTATCCCCTAGGCAATGAATAAATTATAGATATTCAATCTATATTCACCTTGGATTATTGATTTGGCATCATGTGCATATATTTTCTGTATAGTTGCCAAAACTATTGTCAAGCCATACTATATAAAAGACAGCTGTGTAAACGTTGAAGAAGGCCTACATCCGGTACCTCTTTTTCCAATGACTATGTCATAGAAGTATATTATGAAAGATTTCCTGTAAAAATGTAATGCTTACTAATTTTTTTTTAGACCCGTTCGATTGGAGGTCATCTGATTCGAATTCAGATTTAGATATTTCGTTTGGTGTTCTTTCTGTTACTTGTCATCAGTGATCTATCGAAAATTTTCTTTATTGTTCTGTTCAGTTCTTTGACTCAGAGAAATATTTATACCTACATTTTAACTAGATTGAGGACATCTACTATCAATATAAGTCTTTAACCACATTTATATACTTGGCAACTAGTGATAAATTGGAGAATCAGGTAGCTGATTTGTTGCCATTTTAACTGCTTTGAGTTCTGAACGTACGTTTAGGATATATTTTATGTATAGACCTAAGAACGTCAAGTGTGCATAACAATGCTAATATTTTATCGTGAGAAAATAAATAGTAGACTATGTTTAGGGCTGATGCGTGCATTAAAATAGACATTCATAATCAGTCAGCTAATTTGAATATTCTGTCAAACTCTTTTAAAGAAAGTAAAGAAATAAGAAATTTTAACTCAATATAGTCTCTTGGGTATTGATATACGTCTTATGTTTTTTTCAAAATAAAAGAGGCGGGCTCTTTTTTGCATAAGAAAGAAAACGGAAACTTTTAAGGAAATAAAAACTTAAAAAGGTTCACATCATCAATAGTCGATATTAAAGAGATTTCTTATTTACGTCATCAAAATGTACATCACAAGATGGTGGTCGGTGGTTTGACATTAGTAATCTAATTCTTGACACTGAGGTCAGAGCGATTTCATAATCTTGTGTAATAAATGCTAGTATATGTACTTTATAGTGGTATATAGCATCTGCCACATGGTTGCT